CTAATATGCGCAAGGCAGTACTTTTCCGCTGTTTTGGTTATCTCAAGGTTGAAGCTACTGGCACATTGGCAGCTGCTGATTGGACGGTGTTCATTCCTCCATGCTGTTTAAGATCACTTGCATTCTGTAACATCTTGTTCGTGCTGTCTACCAATAAAACATGTCTTCTGTCTGGATAAAAGACACAATCCCAGACTTTGTTATCTTCTTCAATATTTTCAAAATGGATTATGTCTCCAATCCACTGATTGTGCATTGAATAGAAACAATTACAAACAAATGTTCTTGTTTATGAATGAACTGAAATCTACTCATCTGTAACCTATCCTGGTCTTAGCCATCCGTAAACCCCAGTCAATTATTATTTCCCTGCATGTACTGTACGTCTGGGTCTGATCCCAGCGGCTGCAGTTACCTTGGTTGAATCCCATCAAACCAATCAGCGAGCGGGGGAGGAGGGTGTTGTAGGTGTTAGTGACGTCAAGAGTTGGCACAGAGTTTGCTGTTGCAATGGTGGCGAATGAGATAGTAAAGTAATTCGTTCTGGTTCGGCTCCAAATATCAAGAAATTGAAACTGGAGCAAGAAGAATGTTTAGCAAATGTCATTGCTGGCAGAGAAGTTGTGGCTCTACTCCCCACAGGCTCCGTTAGTTGGAAAGGAGATGGCTAGGCTAAATGCTAAATGCTAGCAGTCACCAGCAGTTTACCATGATGTATTACATACATCATGGTAAACTCGGATCCAATCGTTTCAATCTCTAAAAGGCGTTAACCTGTTAACGGAGCTCAATGGAGCAAATCCAGACCTTAGTCTGAAATGAAATGTGTATTATGGCGTGGTGAGACCAGGCAACCCCAAATCAGACCTTGAGTCAAAGCGGTATGGCACATGCTGGATCTGTGTCTCCCACAAGGAAAAGCAATAATCATTCCAGTTCATAAAAAATGACTTAATTACATAAGTTGATGTTGTACGTGTTTCCATTAAAACATGATCTGAGGAATGTTGTTCCGTGTGGTTCGACTGAGTTAATATGTGCTATACACTGCAAAAAAATGAGGCAGTAATTGCTTGAATCGAGTGGACTTGACTTATTTTTTGCATTATGTAAAGTGTGCAGTGAGCTGCAGAGAGAGAGACTTCAGTGAGTGAAAAACCAAAGTTCATGGAGTATAGCTGTCTGAGGCGCCTGCCTCGTGGCCCCTGTACCTGTGCACCGAGCTGTATTTGGAGAATGTGCGTTTGGCCCCGGGGCCCGTGTAGTGCGTTTGATGACAGTGCTTTATGACGGCTGTGTTTCTTATCTGTGATGGAGCTCATAAAGTAACACCTCTGAAGACAGCTCAAAGCGCCGCTGCTACTGCTCTCACACTCTGTGATGGCTGTCAGCAGGGGCCCGGGGCCCAGGAGCAGTCTGGACAGGAAAAGCAGCCTGCACAGAGGACAGTGAAGGGTCAGGTTTGGCCCCAGGGCCCGCCTCATACAGTGCAGTGACTATATAAATATCAACAGTGTGTTTGTGTGATGTGCAGGTACAGACCTGCTGCCTCAGACTCACACAAGTCTGTTCCTTATTGTTGTCATGCAAAACGTTGTAGGATCTCTTATAACACTTTTTGAGCAACTGTGGTTAAAGCTGAACTCATCATTAGTCCAGTATGCACAAGCCAGAGAAGTTACACTTGATGTTTTGGTCTGAATGCTGAAGCTGGCACCGTGGCCGCTGCTGGTTGGACTGTCTATGATTCCTTCATGGTCTATTATCACAGCAGATCTGTGTCCATGTCGTCTTTATTATATGTCTTCTGCGGGACACGATCCCAGCATCTTGTCTCAGTTGTTAGAGGAAACACTTTCTGATTGCTTCAAAACTCTATGACATGATGTGGAACCTTCTGTAGGGAGAGAACAGTTTATGTCCACACCGTGTTCATTATAATCTAAGATACATTTGCCAATTAGGAGGTCCTTTTTATACATTTCACTTAAAAAATAAAAAATAAACTTCATGACACTCATGACAGTGTTGGGCAGATACAGTAATCATATAGACAAAACTAATTGCTTTAAAAAGTTACTTATAATTACTTAAATTACCCGAGGAGTACGTGCCTGCATGTGTTCTTATAATATTAATATACAGAGTCATAGAATAAACTATTGGTTGAGACAACAGACACCGCTGCTGCTGCGGCTGCTGCTGCTGCTGCTGCTGCTGCTGCTGATGCTTATAAAAACAGTAGGTTCAGGTGAATCAGAATCCTGTGGTTCACATTCAAAATACTCCTTCAGAGATTATTCAGTTCATACCAACACCAACAAAAACTTACCGACCATAAATAAATGTATTATAAAAGTCAGTTCTAAGTGTAAGCGTGACTGAGTTCGGCACATGCAGGTGGTGAAGGCTGCTGTCTCCGCTGTCTCCTCTCTACTCTCTCTGCGTCTCCAGTCTCCGCTCTCTCTGCGTCTCCAGTCTCCGCAGCTTCATTGTGACGCGCTGGAGCAGAACGGGACGGACATGGTTCCATTGTGCGATAATAAATCATGTCTGCGCGGGCACTAATTAGCAGCGGTGCCAGATCTTAAGAAGCGTTTCCTGATAATTAGCCGCGTGCGTGGACAGGGCTCTTGGACGCGCTTGGCACCAGCAGAACAGACGCATGCCTTATTTACACTCGTCATCAATGCATTTATTAGATGATGAAACGCACTGAAAACTTCCATGTCAATATATTCACAGACGCAACTTGACCATGGCTATAAGTGTAATTAACATTTTAATACACATATCTGGACTTGTAAAAACTCTGATCTCATTAAAATAGCATATAAGCTTATTCTTTCATTCATTTATTCATTCATTCATATTCGGTTTAGTCCTCTATAGCTCGGTATTATTGTTTGCTTGGGCTATTTGCAATTTTAAACACACAAACCTATATTTTTTATTTGTTACATATATGGACAATCTGGATCTCATTGGAGTGTGTTTAAATACTTCAAAATAATAAGTAATAATACATAGTTTGTTGTTTAGTTTCCTTATGTGCAAATAGGGACGCAACCCCCGAGTGCCTTTCTGGAATAAATTGTGAGTTTTTTGTATGCATGCCCTTACCTTTTACTCTTACAACTTTATTTACTCTACAACCTTGAGCCAAAACAAATGATTTAACTTATACAGTGGCAATAAAAATAATTATGATCCTGATTCTGAGTTGGAAAGTGTATTGTTTAACTATGAGCCTTGTTCTGATGGAAGTCTGTACAGCGCTTTCCTTTTTATTGTGCCATTTGTTTTTACTTTTTGCAAAGGCCCGGGACATTTCTGCGGCCGCACTGTCGGTCTCTGGGCAACACACTCAAAGCTGAATTGTGTGAGAGTGTGAGTGTGGGGAAAAAAAAACTCTTTTCAAAATACAAATGTTATTGATTTGGTAAGATTTGACTTGACAAGTATTTGTAAAGAACAAGACCTTTGAACATACTAAAATAGAGAAACTTAGACTGGACATATATGCTGTATGGTATTTTCCACTTGTAAACCAAACACATATATATTCACTGCAAGGAGTGGTGGAAAATAAGTCAAAATTGCTCAAATTCGGTAACACATCTGACTGGGTTAAGACAAAATTTGCAAATGAGACGGAGCAAAATTATCTTGATTTAAAAAGTTACAAGAAAAGTCTCCCTTGGAATGAGAAAATAACGCAACAGTTCTTGAAGACATTTGGTAAATCTTGTTTTAACACAGTCAGAATGTACTCAGATAAAAACCACTCAATTCAATCAATTAATACCTTTTATAATTTGTGTAATGTTAAGATCAAAATGGTTTGGTTGAAGCGCGTTCTCAAGATGCGTTTGAAAAGAGGTGAGATCATTGATAAATAAATGTTTTATTTCAGACGTGTGACGTCAGATGGATTCACAGATTAAAACACAGGAAAAGGCGCTACACACTTTTCATTTGACATAAATACATAAGCGGCTGACAAACAAGAGAGGAGCGGACATTCTCCACGGTCTGAAGCTGAATCTGTGTCTTATTTGGCCGCAGTCAGAGATTGTCGAGCTCCAAAAGTCCAGTGAGACGCGCGTGCCTTTTTCAGCTTAGAGAAAGTAAAGCTAGAATGGCATTGGTCAATATTCAAACACACACGCACCTAAATAAGTGGGTGTTTAGGCCGTATGCATTTGGAAGTAAAGCACATTAAAGAATGTCTCCAACCTTTGACAGCGAGTGAAGGTAAAGGCCCTCTGGAGGTTTGGCTTCATAAAGTTGGATGTGGCTGCAATCACAATATTCACCAATAACAGAGGCTACATTTGGTGAAATACAAACATAAAAAGTAAAGTGAGAAAATGGAATCCTGACATGGCAATATTAGCTGACACTTTATTTTCTTCAGTTTCATTTCTGCATCGCAGGTTTTTAGACAAACGTGTCCAAATAATGTAAATAATAATTATGAATTATTATTATTATTTATTTATAATTTTTGCATCATGGATACAACAGGGAAAGTACTTTTTTCTTTAGAAGAATGGGCCTTACACGCGCAGCCTCAGGGCCGTGTTCTACTGAATCTAATGTGCATCTAATATTACGTTATGATTTATTTGTGTTTTGATAAATATCCTAAAGATCCACAGGTGGCTCTGGTCAGAGGTTGTTGCGCATCTTTGGATGAATAGGAAGAGTTCAGAGCCACAGGCCAACGCTGCGAAAGGAACGAACTGTTCCAGAATGTTTCCTCTTTTTTTGTTTGGCTCCGCATCTGAGAGTCACATTTCTCACGCACTGATATCTGAGAGCGCGTCAAACACGGAGCGCGTCCACGGAGACAGTGACGTGTCCACGAGCAGCATGCAGCGTTTACAAAAATACTAGAGAGGACACGTCCACAGCAGACTTCGATCTGTCCGGACTGAAGCTGTAGGGTTCAGTTCAGTTCAGTTCAGTTCAGTTCAGTTCTGAGCGTGTGCGCGTCAGTGCACGGCCACCACTGGCTGCAATGCGCTGGAGGCCCCGGAGCAAAGTGCGTCCTGCGGGGCCCCGGGGCTGTGCGTGAGGCCTGAGTGCGGGGCCGTAGGGCTCAGAGACTGCGGGGAGTGCGCGAGGAAGGGCAGGTGTGCGTGCAGCCCCGGGAGCCCCGGTGTGGCCTTGATGGGCACCGGGACCGCGGGCAGAGTCTGTCCGCCCGGGCACAGCGCTTTGAGCGGCATGCCGTACGGGGAGTAGTCACTGGTCGCCATGGATACGGCAGTAGCAGGGTCGTACACGTGGGTCCAGGAGGGCAGCGGGGGGGGCAGGACCTTGTAGTCTCGTGCGATGATGCTTTCGATGGCAAAAGGATGTTTGAAGCCGGAGGGCGGTGGCACATGGGACATGTATCCCGCCATCTGCGGCAAGTGCGCGGCTGCATGCAGCGCGCTCAGCCGCAGCTTGGCCTGTGCGTGCAGGTAGTGCGCCGCTTCTTGCGTCTTACTTGGAGCCAGAGAGTCTGCTGCGTGCGCACCGCACACTTTGAAGCGCTTACGGCGGCGCAGGAAGCTGCCGTTCTCAAACATGTCCCCGCAGCTCGGGTGCAGCGCCCAGAAGCTCCCTTTCCCGGGCTGGTCCGGCCGCCGCGGGATCTTGATGAAGCAGTCGTTAAAAGATAAGTTATGACGTAAAGAGTTCTGCCAGCGCTGAGTGTTCTCGCGGTAGTACGGGAAGCGCTCCATGATAAACTTGTAGATGTCACTAAGAGGCAGCATCTTCTCGGGACAGCTCTGGATGGCCATGGCGGTGAGCGAGATGTACGAGTACGGCGGCTTCTGGTCGCTGTACGTGTTCCGCCCAGGCCGCGGCATCTTCCTCTCAACAGCAGAGCTCACTCCTCATGGTCCTGGAACTGCTCTGACAGTGTCACACGTGAACCGCTCCTCAGCTCCTACTCTGTGCTCTGTGCTCTGCTCTGTTTGCTCCTCTCTCTCTGCCTCATGACAGAGAGACTCAATTAAGGGCCGCTCACGTGTCACGTGACTGAGTCAGAGGCGGGGGCTCACGGTGAGCAGGGTGAGACTGGGGAGGCACGGGACACGCGCTCAGAGCGGAGGGGCGTGTGGAGGGAAAGCCACAGAGAGAGAGAGGGAGAGAGAGTGGGAGAGAGAGTGGGAGAGAGAGAGGGAGAGAGAGAGAGGCCGGCTCAGCAGCACTGCTCCCCGGGACATGAGGCGGCACTGCGCTCTGCGCGTGTGGAGAGAAGCGCACGGAGCGGGACGGTGCACGGTGAGTGCGGTCACACGGGGCCTGCAGCAGGGGCCTGGTGTCTGCAAACTGTTCTCAGTCAGAGGGAATAGATGAATAAACATTGTTTAGACGGCTTTCATGTTTTCCATCTTCTATTGTTAATGTCCAAATTGTGCTCATTATGGTCATTCAACTTCATTATTTGTTTGTGATGTGTATTCTGTGCTCTGTGCTTCCTGAGGGTTTTGCTTAAACTGTAAACATTGTGTAAGTTTACAAATGTTATGGTGATGGAGAATATATATTTTTTTCTTCTCACCAACATCTTTGCTGCAGCTTACTTCATCTTATGCAATCGTTTGTGCAATCTTATGCCCAAATGTGTAAAATCCTTTAGGCTCAGTCCTAAAACCAGCACGAGGTGAGAGACAATTGTGAGGAGCAACAGAGAATTCTCTTCAATCCATTTTTTGTTTCTGGCCGAAAGTCTGCGGAAGTGGACTATAGAGAGTTTGTTTCTCAAATATTCACATCATGTTTTTTACGCAAACACTCAAACCATATGGCATAAATTGATAAAAATTAAACATTTTATTAAAAATGCTATATCCGTCTCTAATTTGAGCCTTCAATGTTTCTTTTTATTTATTCCTTCAATTTGTAGCCACAGCGAGGCAAAGCTGATTGACATACACACGCACACAACTCCAGGCGTGGTTGAAATGTCTTACATTCCAGAAACATTTTGGCACTTTACAGCCGCAGCCACCCGAGTCTCCCATCACAGAACTGAGCAGGGCCTGTCCTGCTTTGCTTCTGAAGTCTGACGCGATCGTGACATATGTTCAGTATTATGTTCAGTAGGAGAACCTTCTCCTGCAGAGCCAGACATGGGTTGGTCTGGTGTATGCTTGCTCTCGATGCTTGTGATACATTAACAAATACGAATACTAATGTAAATGTTTTAATAAGTCACTTGAGCAACATGAGGTTAATCATAGATGTATATATTCTAATCTAATTTCAAAATGAATCTATTTGAATCAGAATGTTTTTTTTCTTGCCATTCTTGCCTCGTGCTTTATTGCGTGCGTGCGTGTTTGTGCGCGTGTGCGCGCGCGTGTGCAGTATCTTCGTGTGTGGCTGTATTGAAAGGGTGCTCCTAATCCTCAGGCGCAGGTGCAGAGTGGTGTGAAGCACTTCAGCACGCTCCTCATCATTGTCAGCTCTCGAACTGAGGCTGGACTCACTCTGCGCATATATGAACTTACACCATTCTGCACATGACTGCCACAGGCTGCACATGTCCCGCTAATGCGGTCTACGGGCTAACATTCATACTTTTATTATCATTTTATATTTATTATAATAAGTCCTTGTCTCAAGAAAATACTTCAATAGAAAACCTGCGTTGGTTTGTCTAGAAGCAGTGAGAACATGCATGAAGAGATGAAAGAAGAAAATAGACTGATGAAGAGATCCTTTATTCGTCCCACAATGGGGAAATGTCAGTGTTGCATCATGTTGGTGATAAACTACTGTGTAGGTAGACCACAGTAAACTGAGAGAAGCGAGGCAACCAGTCTGTGCCATCGGCCCCTCCCACCATCACCAATGCATTCACACTCCAGACACATTCTGGGCAATGTGGGTGACATGTCTTGCCTAAAGACACAAGGACAGTTTGGTACTTCACAGCCGCCCCACTGTGGCACCTGGTGCTCCCAAATGACTCCCATCACAAACCCTGCCCTGCCCTGCCCTGCCCTGCCCTGCCGTGCGGGCGCCTGTTCCAGATTTTACCTGCATTAATCTGAAATGCAGATTCCCCATTTCTCGTTCTCCACTCTCATCCCTCTGCAAAAACCATAGGCTGTAGCTGAACTTGAACTCAATGCAGCCTCCACAGCGCCCTCTAACTGCGCGCGGCAGCGGCGCAGGGGTCCCACGCTTGAGTGGCCCTCAGCGAAGAGCCAATCGCTTCAATTAAAGCGCTGATTAAGCAAATTGGAGGCTGATTAGAGCGAGTGGAGTGTTCAGGAGAGCTGCTAATTACAGAGACGATTAGCAGCATGAGCAGCCATTATCCTCCCTGACAGACTCTGAGGCCTGGAACCACTTGCATACTGGGGCCACTTGCACCATGGGACCACCATATCATATCTTTTTGTATTATTTTTGCTGCTGCATTTCTAGTATGGGGGATCTCTCTCTCTCATATTAGTTTCACATTTTAAGTTGAATTACAGACATTCAGCAATATTATAATTGTCTAAAAAGTGTCTACAACTTCTTTCATAAAAGTTAATAGTGGCTATGGCCTGTTATACATCATTTGAAAACATTCATCCATCCATCCATTTTCTTCCCCTTAATCCATTTCTGGGTCGGGGGGATGGCAGTCAGAGCTGCACCCAGTACACAGAGCACCAGCCCCTCACTGGTCCTCCTGCAGGTGGTGAGTCCACAGGAGCTGAGAACTTTCAGTTGGGGCTTTGGGCAAAGTGGGGTTAAGTGTCTTGCCCAAGGACACAACGACAGCAGTCATCACTGCTGATTACTTACTTACTCATCAGTGGGAGTCGAGAAGTAGGTCTTACGGTGGGCTCGAACCCACGACCTTCAGGCCCAAAGGCCAATGCTCTACCAACTGAGCTACTGTCGCCCCACATTTGAAAAAAAAAAAAAAACTGAAAGTCCAAACATGATTGAACTAAATACTACCATAACTTAAAATATATAAGAATATTAACAAATTAAATATAGCAACTTCAAACCGGTGGTAAGATGACACTGTAGCCACAGCTGCCCTGAGGCAAAGCTACAAATCTGTGCCATCAGCTCCTCTGATCATCACCAATAAATCACACATAAATTCATGGACGATTTTAGTGAATTTTTTTTACTTGTATGTTTCAAAAGTAACATAAAAGTGACACTCCGGATCCAAGAGTAAAACTCCAACTTATTGAAATTGTCACAAGCTGGCTCTAGGCTTGAAACACAATCCAGAGAAAGCAACATCAAAAGTAACCAAAAAACAGGGAGACCCAACCTAGCGTTGGGTCAATAGCTGACTTTTGAACCACCCTGTAAAGCCATTGGACTGAGTAGTACTCTCACCTCTCAGCAAGAAGGTCCTGGGTTCGAATCCTGGTCGGTACAGGGTCTTTCTGAGTGGAGTTTGCATGTTCTCCCCATGCCTGCGTAGGTTTCCTCCAGGTACTCTGGTTTCCCCTTCCACCAAAAACTTGCACACTATTAAATCCTCCAGCTCCGGTAGTCCTGACCATTACTACGGCGACCACTGCTCCTGACGTAAGCCTTATAGGGGCATCAGGATGGGTCAAATGCAGAGGGTTGAATTGCCCTATACAGGGATTTATAAAGTGCACCCTTAATTCTCTTTCCAGGTACACCCCCAACAGCTAGTAGTGAGATTGCAAACATGTCAACGCACGTGCTCATGGACCTTTTTGAGCCGGGACCCGCCCCCACTGGGGTTAGCAAATTACAAAACAAAACAGGAAATAAACCTTGACCCAAACTAGGACCTAGAATTGTCAAATTTAACACACTGAGCTCTCCACCTCCGCCTATCACCCCTCCTCTCCCCCTCCTCTCCCTGTCCCCAACCCCATAGCCCCCATGTAGGCTATGAATTTCTAATTAATAATTTGTCACGTAACTCCTCCTTGCAGTTATTATCCCTCAAACTGGGCAATGAATTGAATTATTAGCTTGCTTTTTTTGTTTCCGTGTGGCCCTCATTACCGCCTGGATTGATGTCGCACAAACTTCATTAAAAATTAAAGTGGGGATTCTTTAATTACGGGGCGGCCCTCTCCAAAGCCAGAATTAGCCCACTCAGTGATGTGCAAATGAGAGCATTATTTAAGGAACATGCTGGAAGTAGTTATGGTAATTCAGTGGGGTTCACAGTGGCAGACCTTTTCCCTCGCAGTTGCATATTCATTAAACGCGCTATGCAAATTTAATGTAGCAGCCTTGGTAATACCGTCTTAATTTATTCCGATTTATTGAGTAAGACTTGTAAAAAGTACCAGTTTAATTAGCTTCTTCTGGAGATGGCCTCGGTGATGGCTGCGATTCCTAAAGCGATGTGCCATAGAGAGAGAAGCCTGATGGCGGTGTGCGCTTTTGCAGATGTGGAGAGGGAGTTTGTAGGGTGAGGGCTGGGGGGTTAGGGGTGGGGGTGAGGGCTGGGGGGGGGTGGGGGGGGGTGGAATCTCCTAAGACTTGGCAACTTAGAGAGAGAAAGTCTCTGAGTTTATTTACTCGTAACTGCTGCATTGGGAATATCAATATTGAAATATCCCCACTGTGGGACAAATAAAGGATTTCTTAATCTTATATTGTTTAACAGATTCAGATTCAGTTTATTTACCCTTTGCAGTAAAACCACATTGGAATAACTGTACAAGAATACAGTTACCCTAGAATACCCTATACCAGCCATTCCCAAACTCAGTAACACCGAGGCCCCCTTAAAAATCTGACGGGTCTGCGTGGCCCCCCAAAATAATAACCAAGAAGACAACATTAAGAATAGGCTCTTCTGGTTATTTTATTTTGGGGAAATAGCCTCTGCTACAAACAT